CTGAGAATCAGGGTAATAAAAGTCGTCCTCATTTAGGAAAGGATTGGTTGCCTTCGGTTGATAAGGTGGAGGTGGAGCAGAGGGCAGCAGGCTTGTGGTAAACTGGGATTCAGGCTGGAGCTGTTTGATGGTGCCGTTGGAGACGAGCCTGTGGCCACAACTGAGGTCAGAGCAGAAGAGTATAAGAGAAAAGAAAGATGTGCATTCGCCAATAATACAGCAGCGAATGTTCTTAAGTTATTCCTGTCATTGTTATTAGATTTTATTAAGTTAAACCAACCAAACATTTTTAAATTTGATGTATGTATTAATTCCCTTTTAAAAGTATATAAAAGAATTGTGTTGAACAACTTAATAAAATTACACCATACAGATAAATGTGGCTAGCAAAAATGTATTGATCTATAAACCATCAATTTAATTGAATTATTCCAATCAGTCATTTCTTGAATCTGGACGTAAGCCGGGTTACACTCTGGCCAGGTCGCCACTCTTTCGCAGGACAACAAAGAGACACACAGAGACAAAAAACCATGCACACACACACACTCACATCTTAGGAGAATGTAGAGAAACCAATTAACTTAAGAGTAATGTTCTTGGACTGTGGAGAGAAGTTGGTATACCCAGACAGAACCAACACATGCATGGGGAGAACATGTAAACGCCATGCAGAAAGACCTCAGGCCATGAATCAAGTGCAAAACCTTCTTGCTGCAAGGCAAGCTAAGGAAGAGGCCTAGGAAAAAATACACAAAAAAATGATATACTGTAAGGAAATAGGGTGGCCAGAGGTTCCCTATAGTTTAACACTCAGACACAGTAATAAGCAGCAGGGCCTTTTAAGCTCTAGCCAATGAGGTGATGGAGGTGTGGTGCTGTAATCTACTCAGCCCAGCCCCCGAGGAGAAGCAACACTGAGGAAGAAGAAAGATACCCAAAGCATACACAAAGCACAAACAAAATCCCTAATACATTCCTCTTTTGTTTCTATATACAAAAGGTGTGTTTTTAAATATATCTCTATATCTCTAATCAGAGGCGATTCTAGAGTCTGTGGGGGCCCCAAGCAAAAAATCCTAGGGGGCCCTCCTGACCAGTGTTCATCACCATTATGTTAGGCTATAAATAATCTGACACCAAAGAAAAATGTATTAAATAAAACTTTTTTTATTCCAAATGTTCTAAACATGAACAACCTTGTTATTTTGGAAAATATAAAAGAATAAAAGTAAAGAATAAACTAATAAATTAAAATAAATGTATAATAAAAAAAAAACAGTAAATTACTTTAAAAACCCAATATAAACTTTGTACAAAATATAAAGTATAGTAAGTGTAGTGAAATTATTGGGGTCCTAGTGTTAATTTTAGCAGCCATTTTTAAATTTTAGTTTTAGTCTTAGTCCAGCTTCAGCATCGTTTGTTAGTTTTTATCACATTTAGTCGACATCATCGCATTTTTATTTAGTCTAGTTTTAGTCGACTTAAGTCAGAGCATTTTAGTCTTTATTTTAGCCCAAGAAAACATAATTTTATTAGTTTAGTTTTAGTCACCAAAAACTGTCAACATTTTAGTCTAGTTTTAGTCAGGACATAATTTTAACCTTTTACTTTTTTGTCAGCAGATAACGTTTAAGATTTCCTAAAATTATTTCAACATTTTCTCTCATCTTTTTAATAAAAAACACAATTTTAAGGAACACCTGCAGACATGGAAGATGTTCTGACAATATTTGCATATTTATTTTGAACACAAACACAAATGCTTGCATTAAAACAAATAAAACACACCTGGAAAAGGAAACAAATAAATAAAATAAAGTGTCTTATGAACTTTACACAAGTGCTGGCTGTTTAAAGCTAGTTCACATTGAATAATAAAATAAATAGATTTGAGGTCAATGTTGTTAAAAAAAAAAACTCCAACTGATACAACAAAAGTGCTTTCCTTCCAGCTTTAGCTGGCCTGTCATTGTTTCTGGGTGGCTGGTAGGTTGTTGTTGTTGGTGGTGGTGGTGTATCTTCAATCTGGAACAGAAATTAATAGTCAGGATAGATGCACAGCATAACAGGAATTCCAAGTGTATAAGTAGCATATAGGTCTCTTTTTTTTCCTTAACAAAAACTAAGTCTCTATAAAAACTACATTTGACCATCCGTTTCAAACTCATACAAACAACCTAACTATCATTTAATGCAGGAATAAATTGCAGACATTTTTAGGTGTGCATGCATTTTGGTTGTATTAATATTGATGCCAATTCAATTCAAATGTCCTTGTAATAGTAATATGCAGATAAACAGAGCAGCATTTTATGTCACCAAATAAAGACATCCCTGCAGTGGTTCCCCTACTCTTTTGTATATGAAAATCTAGTTTAAAGTTGCTCTGAATTATGTGTGGCATATTATTTTTATTTTGTCTTATCCTGATAAATAGTGTCAGTTCCTTTTAGCATTTAGCATACATGTGTAGCTGCCGAGGTGTTTTCTGTTAACTATAGTTCACTTGCTGCTCCTAGATAACCTAAAACGTCTGTCTGCTTTAATCAAACTTGCAATTTAACAGAAACTATAGTTGCCCGGCCAGTATAACATATCTAAGTTAGCATAAATTTAACTTTACATACAATGCTATCAACAAGTGGCTACCGTCGCTACGTGCTAACAAGCTAACGTAACGTAGCCAGCCTGGATACTAAATGCTATGAAAATTAGCCAACATCAGTTAGTTTATCATTGGGACATTATAGCCGTTGATTTAATGTTACATTATAAACAATCACCACCAATCTTTCTGGTAACTTACCGTAATGTCTTTGTGGTGAACTGTGACGTGTCTCTTCAGGTTTGTTGTGTTTTTTCCAGCTATCATGTGGCCATATTCCTTCCCTTCCACTAAAATCAAGCATTTGGGTTTGTTCTCCACTTAAAAGCGAAAATGTGTCCATATAGCACGTCTCCTCTTTCTCCCGAGTCCCGGAGTAGGCTACTCTGTGCCCGCTCCGGGTTTGAAAGTGGGTGTGTGGGAGCTGACGAGGAGGAGGAGGAGACGAGACAGGATTTGAAAAAAACAGAAAATAATAATATATAATTTTCGTCTCGTCTTTGTTCGTGAACTAAAATGTCCATAGATTTTAGTCCAGTCTTTATTTACCGAACTGCATTTTCGTCTCGTCTTAATTAGTCCACGAAAATGATTTCTGATTTACTCCCAGTTATTGTTTATTAGTGGGGATTTTCGTCTCGTCTCGTCTAGTTTTCGTTTGGTGAAAAATGTGCGTGGACGAAAATATTTTCGTTTAGTTTTCGTTAACGAAATTAACACTATTAACACTTATGGGCCTTGGCTTGTGCAAATGCAGACAATAAGTCCTCCAGATCCAAAGACCTTCGCACGCTATACTCTATAGAAATAAGCGCCAGTCCTGAAAGTCTCTCTTGAGACATGGAAAATGAATAATTTTCCTTCAGCTTAGTTACATTATTGCTTTCCAATTTACTGAACGATAGGCCTACAACGTCACCCATTCGCTAGGCTACGTTCATTTTCATTAAGGGAAGTCATCCACCTGGGCTGGGCTGGGCTGGATTTTGACTGGCCAAAGCCAATGTCAATCAACATTCCATCCAATCGGAATTTTTTAAATGCAGTTGTGCATCTCCTCAGTCACTATAGCGTTGCCACTTCATGCTCGCCTGTTGCTGTTTATCTACCGGATGTACAGTAGCTGGCTCTCGGGGGCCCCCCAGCGGCTCGGGGCTCCAAGCAGTTGCTTGGTTTGCCTGTTGACAAGGTGCGCCTCTGTCTCTAATTTGAATAAATAAAATAAAATAAACCTCTTCCTATAGTCTTAGGTCATTAAATCCAAACCAGTAGGATTATCTCCCAACCAATCTATGAGTGAAGGAGTTCAGTCTTTTTAAGTTGTTCCACCCATGCTGATCTGAACTCTGCAGATATATACAACGTAACTCATACAATGTAACTAAAGGCTTTTTGATTCCAAGAGACTTTTAGTTAGAATTGGCTTCTTTGATATGCATGCATTTGTTTTCTGTTCTGTTTTCTTTTGACAAAGGATTTGTGACATCTGTCTGTAAAAACATGGTACTTAAACTTTGCTATAATTACTCATATGGAGATGATCAAAACAGCTAGCTGAGTCTGAGTTGTCAATCAGCAGCATCAGTCTGATCTACAAAAAGTCTGTCTCTGTCTACAAAAAGGGCCAAAGCCGACTATTCTTCCTGAGGAGGCTAAAGTCCTTTAACATCTGTGGGGCGATGCTGAGGATGTTTTATGAGTCAGTTGTTGCTAGCATGCTCTTCTTTGCTGTCACATGCTGGGGCAGTGGGCTGAGGGTCGCTGACAACAACAGACTGAACAAACTGATCAGGAGGGCCTGTGATGTTGTGGGGGAGCAGCTGGACACTCTGACCACCGTGGCAGAGAGGAGGATGCTGTCCAGGCTTCAGTCCATCTTAGACAATGACTCACATCCTCTCCATGACACACTGGTCCTGCAGATGAGCTCCTTCAGCAGAAGACTCCTCCTACCCAGATGCACCACAGAGCGCCACAGGAAATCATTCCTGCCTGTGGTCATCAAGCTCTATAACGCCTTCCTCAAGTGATTCAGACCCCCCCCCCCCCTGTAATTGACATTGATGCACTATTTTTGCACACCACGTATCACTTAACTTGGATTTAGTTTTACGTATGCATATATATACATACATATATATATATATACAGAAGAGCTATATGTGTATATATTTTATCTTTTATATTTTTATCTTCATGATCTTATGTAGTTGGATGTGTGTGTGTATATATATATATATATATATATATATATATATATATATATATATATATATATATATATATATATATATATAAAGACTGTAACTGGAGCGTGTAACAAAAGTAATAACAAAAATAACAAAAGTAAAATTTCTGATTCTGATGGGCTGCAGGGGCTGATGGGAGCTTTGAGGAGCTGTTAGAAACCACGTGGCCCTCGTCTGATCTAGCAGCTCGTCCTTGTTTGGCCTCAGCTGCATCAGAGCGCCACTTCTCCCCAGGTTCACCAGAGGAAACACCACTGCACAAAATGCTTTTCCTCCCAGCTGCTGCTCTGTGCTGTCTGTGTTCAGGTGAGTGTTTCCAGCCAATCAGGAGCCAACAAAGTCCACCTGGAACAAACACTGTCCCACTAACCTTCATCTGTCTGTCTGTGTCTCTACAGCGCTGGCTGCCATGGCAGGACAGCTGAGTCAGGAGGATTTAACTCTGACCAGAGCAAAGGGTGGGAACGTATCCTTCAGCTGCGGAGGAACTGATCAATGTGCCAGTGGTTATGTATACTGGTACCAGAAGAAAAAACCAGAGACTTTCAAATTGATACTGAGATTTAGAACAACTAATTCTGAAATAAAGAAAGGCTACAAACATCCTCTAGAAGGTGATTTCTCTGCAGAAAGGAAGCAAAACGAATGTTCATTGAAAATAGGAAAAATTAAACTCGATCATGAAGCCTCCTACTACTGCGGCTGTGAGAAGTCTGTTTCCCACAGTGAGAAATGATCCCTCCAGCCTGAACAAAAACCTCCGGATGAACAGATGTCAAACGGTGTTTGTGACAAGAAGAGAGCAGTAAACCACAGCCCAGGTTCACTGGTTTCACCTCCATCTCAGAGACTCACTGAGACCCGGGAGGTGTGGGGACTTTCATTATTACAGACTTTAAAAGTTTATGCTTTTGTTACTCTAATAAAGTTAAATCTGTCATGATTGGTTCTCAGAGAAGCCCAATATGCAGAACACCACGGAAACAGATGGAAAGTTTTACAATGTTTATTAAAAACACAAGCACATAAGTCATGTGAACTGGAACTGGTTCTGGCCGGGGACATGTTCACTGGAGTCTGTGAGGATGACAGTTCAGTTAGCGTTGGCACTGAGGAGTTTGCATTTGGAAGTTTCAGAAGATTACCTTGAGGAGTCCGGGTTTCTCTTTGAGGAAGAAACTGTTGGGTCCAGAGACTGATTTGTTCAGCAGAGTTCAATAACCGCTTCAGCGTCTTACTTCTGACTTGAATGCAGACCTTGGGTTTTGGTTTCCAGCTCTTAGCCAAGCGCTGCTGAGGAATCCAGAGGAGAGTCTTCAGGTTTGGCTCTGAGGGCAGGCTCGGCAGGTTAAGCTCATCCAGAGCTTCCAAGGGAACAGGTTTCCTGTGAAGCATAGACAACGAGAAGTTAGAAGAGAGATTGATCACTAGGGAGATCACTAGAGGTTCTTAGGAGGTTCTAGGCTTAGGTGCTAACCAAACTGGATCAACACTGCGGCATTGAGGCAAGGTCTGAAGGCCGGTTATATACTGCAGGTCCTCCTGATGACGAGATGCGCCTCAGGTGTGTTGGAGGCTCAGCTTCAGAAGGATCCACGGCGCACTCTGCTGGAGACAGATGGTACCGCTCCAGATCCCAACAGTACCCCCCTCTCAACGACCGCCTCTTGGCGGTCCAGAAGACGTTGAGGGGAGGGAGCGCTCATACTCCTCGATCAGTGACGGATCGAGGATGTGGGAGCCACGAATCCATGTGCAGTCCTCCGGACCGTAGCCCTCCCAGTCGACGAGGTACTGCCAACCGCGACCTCAACGACGGGAGTCCACGATCCGGCGGACGGTGTAGGCAGGATGTCAGAAAGAATCAGCAAAGCGTTTGGTGGTGTTGGAGGAATGGTTGAGAGCAGCGATGGTGTCTCTCCAGACTCGCTGACAGCGACGGATGTGATGATTGACTGATTGCACCGAAATCTCTCTCTCGTCTGCTGGAAAAAGAGGGGGTTGATATCCGAGACCAACCTGAAAAGGTGACTGGCCGGTGGATGCAGACTTGAGAGAGTTATGGGCGTATTCAATCCAGGTGAGATATTGGCTCCAATCGGTGGGGTTGTTTGAGGTCAGGCAACGGAGAGTGGACTCGAGCTGTTGGTTCATTCTTTCGGTTTGACCATTAGACTGTGGATGATAACCAGACGTTAGAGAAGATTTGCAATTGACAGCTGTGCAGAAAGCCTTCCAAACCTGGGAAATAAACTGAGGACTACGGTCTGAGAGAATATCCTGAGGAATTCCATGGAGTCGAAAGACATGCTTAACGAGGAGCTGGGCTGTTTGGAAGGCTTTGGGGAGTTTTCTGAGAGGGATTGAGTGGCAAGATTTAGAAAATCGATCGATGATGGTGAAAATGGTTGTCATACCTCGGGAGATGGGTAGTCCAGTGACGAAATCGATGGCTATGTGAGACCAGGGACGAGTAGGTACCGGTAGTGGATTTAACAGACCTGAGGGTGGTTGATGTGAAGTCTTGTTTCTGGCGCAGACAGGGCAGGCCAGAACATACTCCTTCACGTCCTTGTGTAGAGTAGGCCACCAGAAACATCTTGAAATTAAATGGATGGTTCTGCTTACCCCCGGATGAGCGGAAAACTTGGCTGCATGCATCCATTGGATCAGGCGTGATCTGACTGAAGAAGGGACATAGGTTCTGTTTGGAGGACCGTTACCTGGGTCAGGTTCAGAAGCCAGGGCAGAGTTTATCAGGTCGGTGATTTCCCAGGTAACCGATCCAACTGTGCAGGATGCCGGGAGAATGGGTGCAGGCGTCTCGGATTGATCAACGGAGTAGAGACGAGAGAGAGAATCGGGCTTGGTGTTCTTGGATCCGGGTCTGTAAGAGATGATGAGGTTGAAACGGGAGAAAAAGAGTGACCATCTAGACTGGCGTGGGTTTGCTTGTTTGGCGGACTGGATGTAGGCTAAGTTCTTGTGATCGGTCCATGCTAGAACCGGGTGTTCAGCTCCTTCAAACCAGTGTCTCCACTCCTCCAACGCCATTTTTATGGCCAGAAGCTCACGATCCCCAACGTCGTAGTTCTGTTCAGCAGGAGAAAGTCTACGAGAAAAGAAAGCACAAGGATGTACTCTTTGGTCTAAATCGAGTTTTTGTGATAATACTGCACCAACTCCAGAGTCAGAAGCGTCCACTTCGAGGATAAATTGCTTGGTTGGATCAGGCTGGATTAGCACGGGGGCTCAGGAAAACAAAGTCTTAAGTTTGTCAAAGGCGTTTTGAGCTTCGGAGGTCCACTGGAAAGTCTTTTTGACTGAAGTTAGAGTTGTGAGAGGTAAAGCTGTCTGACTGTAATTCCTGATGAAGCGACGGTAGAAATTGGCGAAGCCCAGGAATCTCTGCAGCTGTTTACGGTTTTCAGGAACTGGCCAATCCAAAACTGCTTTTATCTTTTATTCGGATGGCTTAACCTGCCCGCCCTCGAGCACAACCCCTAAAAATGTCACTGAGGACTGGTGAAATTCACATTTCTCGGCTTTTGCGAAAAGTTTGTTTTCCAGTAATCTCTGTAGGACCAGGCGGACATGTTTCTTATGCTCGGAGAGATCTTTAGAGTAAATTAGGATGTCATCAAGGTAAACGAAGACGAAAATGTTCAAAAAGTCTCTGAGGACATCATTGACCAGGGCTTGGAAACATGCTGGAGCGTTAGTGAGACCAAAAGGCATGACTAAATATTCAAACTGACCTAATGGAGTTTTGAAGGCAGTCTTCCATTCGCCACCTTCTCTAATCCTGAGAAGGTGATAAGCGTTCCTTAAATCGAGTTTAGTGAAGATGGTGGCCCCTTGAACTGGTTCGAAGGCTGATGCTAGTGACGGAAGTGGGTATTTATTTTTGACTGTTATTTGGTTAAGGCCTCTGTAATCGATACAAGGTCTTAGAGAACCATCCTTTTTACCCACAAAAAAGAATCCGGCAGCCAACGGAGAGGAAGAAGGGCGGATTATGCCAGCTGCTAGGGACTCGTTTATGTATTTCTCCATAGTTTCTCGTTCAGGTTTTGAAATGTTGTAAAGTCTACTGCTAGGTAGAGGGGCGCCAGGTAATAGCTCAATCGCACAGTCATATGGTCTGTGAGGTTCAAGAGACGTAGCACTGACCTTACTGAAGACAGGAGCCAGATCATGGTATTCGGACGGGACAGAAGTAAGGTCAGGAGAATCCATCTCCCCCCTACCTCTAGGAGACCTTACAGCGGGAGCTGCGGAACGAAGGCACGTCTCGTGACATGAGGTCGACCATGCTTCGATGTGGCCATCAGCCCAGTTTATATGGGGATTATGTCGTTGCAGCCATTCGAACCCAAGCACCAAAGGGGAACATGCAGAGGGAAGCAAAAAAAATGTCAGAGTTTCACCGTGATTACTTGATATTAGCAGCTCGAGGGGTTGTGTTTGGTGGGTGACTTGGTGGAGTTTCTTCCCCTTGGATAAAGGGATAGTATCAATTTTTAGCTGCTGAACCAGGTTGGAGTCTATCAGATTGCGTTCACAGCCAGAGTCGATGAAAGCAGACAAAGTGAGAGTCTGATCTAAAAAGCAATAAGTAGCTGCAAGCATGAGGAGGAGATTTCTCAGAAGTTAAATGGCCCGTCAGACTCCTCAGATCCTCTGACGGGCCCCGGCTTTTAACTTAGCGGGGCATGAGGCGATGAAATGGCCAGTCTCACCACAGTAGATGCAAAGCTTGCTTCTGACACGTCTTAGTCTTTCCTCAGGGGTTAGCCTTGTATGTCCAACCTGCATAGGTTCAGCTTCCGTCTCAACAGCATGAGAGACCTGAACAGGCATAGAAAGTGACTGGGTCTTAGACCTTGGCTTGGAAAAGGGTTCTGTGGGACCAGAAGAAAAAGTAGCATTATTAGAAGCAGGGGTTGACACAGAAGGACCTTGATTTCTTTGTCTAGAATGGTTTCTAGCACGGATTCTGTTATCCAACCTAATGGTTAGGCGGATTAATTCATCTAGAGTTTCTGGTTCGTCGAGGGTTGCGAGTTCATCCTTAATATTTTCATTTAAAGCGTTGAAAAATGCAATTGTAAGAGCCCGTTGATTCCATCCGGAAGCAGCGGCTTTAACCCGGAAGTTGATGGAGAAATCAGCAACTGAGGAATCTCCCTGTTTTAGGGTTAACAGAGCACGAGAGACAATAGTTTGGTCGGAATCATGATTAAATACTTGGGAAAATTCAGAAACAAAATCAGAAAAATTTTCATTAATACTGTCTTCGGAGGCAAATCTTGCCTGCGCCCACTCAAGGGCTCTTTCTGTCAGTTGGGACAAAATAAATGTTATTTTCTTTTCGTCCGTAGGAAAACTTCTAGGAGAGTTCTTAAAGATGAGGCGGCATTGAAACAAAAATCCTTTACAATCCTTCATATTACCTGAAAACTTTTCAGGAAGACTAGGACGAAACTCAGGTGATGACGTCACAGCCGGTGACCTCGGAGGCGGAACTGGACCCGGAAAAGGTTGCGCTGTAGAGACTGTGCTAGCGCTATCCATGTAGCTTGCACACGTTTGAAGCATCTGATTCTGTAGTTCAATTTGAGTGTGTATCTCACGAAGGGCCAGAGCGTGTCCTTGGAGTTGAGCGTCTTGCTCTTCCAGCCTACGATGGAGGTGATCTGCGGGGCCTTGTGTTTT